GTTTACGAAAATCAGATATTGAAAGGAAGTTATGTGATGATCCACAAATCGAAACGTGTTAATCTAGACATAATTGTCCACTTGATAGCTATTAAGAACAAAATAATTAAAACGTTTAATAATCTCTAATTGATAATTGTGGAAATAATCGAGAAGTAGAAATTATAAAACATAATAAAAAACGATGAATAGTAGATGATAAAAAGAAGGTTAAGATCACGGAAGAATGAAGGACTGAAGATTGGGCTTGAACTAGTGGATAGCAATGGCATTTGCAGTACATAAGTTTTTCATTTACATTCATATCGATCCTAGTCTTCTGTCTGTATGTATGATTTTGAAGGAGGCTTCTGGTGAAGCGGAGTGGTCAGAATTAACTCTGTCTCAAGATTGAACGTTTGACTGACTTCTGTTATCCCTTAGAAAACCAGGGAAAGTAATTTCGGAGATGCGTTTTGAAAGAGCTCGCTATGTGCGCCATATTTAATCTTTTGCATATGAGCAAATAAACTGATAGACGCACATTGATAAAGTGAAAAGCGGAAGTTTATTATCCACGCGACGACGAATCATAGGCTTACTATAGAAGATAATACGATGTTCAGCCCAATATAAAGTTTTTCTCTGAGATCTTGAAAGTCTGTGTTTCAAAATTTCTTTGGTTCCATGGATACTCTTTCGCACTATTGCTTCGGCTTCAGACTTTTCTCAGTCAATCTAGAGAGATATACACTGTTGATCAGTATCTGCCGTAGTTTATCAAGTTTGATATCTGTTGTATCCTCTGTACACATTTGTTTAGCCCTCGTGCGGAGAGAATGGATTAGGTCTCATTTCTGCTTCAGTAGTACTCAACTTTGGAAGGCTTCAGCTATGCAGAGCAGTCGTAATCTAGCTCTTTTAGACATATTGACTGAAACTTGAAGCACGGTGAAAAAAACAACATCTCCTTCAATATGATGTTCACTTTCTCTCAAGTGAAAAAAGACCTTTCTAATTTACAAATAACACTTTCTTGAAGTATTTATTTTCTAACAGGTGAAAAAGTTCATTTTTAACAAATAACTTTGTTAAATACATTAATGGATGCTTTATTCTGGCCTTTTTACAATATCACAGTAATTATGAATTAATTACTATGAATGTTTTCTATGCATTTAACTCTTAGTTATCATATGAATAAACATACTTGTTGTAACGCAGTTCATGAAATATCAAACCTCGTGGAAGATTTAAAAAGTAATAAGTTTTATTACTACTTTGTCTTCAACTTTGTTATTGCTAATGATGTCCTATTGAATTTGATCTTAATAGGGATAAAAAAACATCCCTATAACAACCGAATTAATCATTTATATACTTCATAAAAGTTGTGTCACGTAAATATGTAGTGTATGCCATTTATGCTGATCGGTATCAGTAGTATTTAGCTGTAATCGGAAGTGGAATGCCTGCCAGCAGAAGACTGAAATGAAGGGAAGGAATATAGAAAGTAATTGTAATAACAGCAGAATAGGGAGAATCATGTAAAATGTAAAGGACAAGTGAAGGAAGATGGGCAAACAGTGTTTTTAATGTATAATTCTCATAATTTTTTTGAAAACGTAATTTTTCATTGGCCAATCGACCAATCAACGTTGAGGTGTACAGAACAAGCTGTGAAACACATATAGAGGAATTCAAACACTTCACTTTTATCTGACGTTTGTGCTGATGATGTTGTTCAGAAGAAAGATGAAAGCTTCACGACAAAACCATCCAGCCCAGAAAACAAAACTCCATCAAAATCATCCACCTGAGCTACAAATCTTGTCCACAATCTCAGACAGCCAATCATTATCATTCTCGCCCCCACATCAGATAGTTACCCGGACTTAAGCAAGTAGTCGAATAATCAATGTAGCCGAAAACTATAAATGCTCATTTTATAATAAGTGAAAAGATTAACAGTTATTTGCGATTATTCTTGAGAGGACTGTTTGTATTGACGCATTTATTCCCAAGCATATAATATGAAACAACAAAATGTATGATTTCAAGTATACTTGATTTATCAAACAAGTACTGTAAGCCGCTTATTGTTTCTAAGGGAATCGGTTTGTGACTCAACAAATGTCTTCACTCATAATTAAACACAGAATCGATTTAGGTTCGTTCAAGTTCAATGGTCAGAACAATACATTTGGACTTTAGAAATGAAAGCCGTTGATCTGTTTTTTGCTCCATCCCAGTTACGGTAACGTGCTTAAATATTACGGTCATACAAGTTAGGGTTAAAGACAGAATCTTATGTGTCATGATGAAGGTTATCCTAAATCAAAAAGTAAATAAAAGGGAAGTTGTGGATAAAATATCCGTTTAATGATTCCTATTTTTGAATAGTACTCTATTTAATATAAACAAAGTACTTATCATTCTCAATTCATCAAGAAAATCAAAAAGTCAATTTTCTACCCTTTTATGAGGTATATTTAGTATATACTGGTTTCTGAAATATAAACTGATCATAACTTCAGCATAAATCGATGGTGATTTTATATCGAATCACCTAATTTGACTAATATACATACACTTTTCCCATTTTGTTTTCCGTGTTTAGGACTTAAAACCTATTTTAGTCAAATATTATTGTCATCGATATTTTTATTCACATTTTTTTGTATTACTATTATTACTACTATCTATTTCAATATCACTAATCACCTTCTAAATACTTGAATAGTTTAGTTAACACACACCTTAGTTTATTATGTCTTACTGTATTCATATCTCTTTTTACATCATATTATCTTCCGCCAAATGTTTAATCCAATTTCTAATTGCATTATTATTTCTATCTTTTGTATTATGTTTATCTAATATTTATCCCGATTATTAATCTTTTAATTTTATATCACTTAGAAACGAATTCAAGTTATTACTAATAGCTTTATTCTCTTTTACAATTAATGTTGTTATAATATTAAACAATGTATTTTACCTTAAAACTGGCCAATTTTTCTGAAGCAGGGAGGGATAATTAATTTGAATATGATAATTGTAGGATCTGCAGAGACTTTATTGAAAAGTGATATTCTTCGTATATATATATACGGTGTTTTATAATGATAGGGATTAATAAACAATTAAATACATTTGATATATAATTATTTTTCGGTAAATCCTAATGACTAAACAAATGATCTAACTTTTAAGAGAAATATATTTACCAAAACTAATTGAACCAGTTTCTTTTTTCAATACAAAAACATTATGCTAAAGGATTAAACATTAAGAAGATGGGAATTATATTGTTTATTTTATAATACCCTACTATATTACTGTGTATAATAATAATAGTAATATAAAACGACGCTAGACTAATAAAAGAAAAAAGGATCATTCTAACTAGTTTCTGCCAAAATTTTCAAATTGTAGTCTGTTATATTAATCATAATATAAGTAGGTTGTTCATCAATTTTCAAAATTTATGAAGATATAAGTGAAAATGATTCTAGAAAACTAACTAATAAGAGAATTGAAACTATAAGGAATGTTAGAAAAAAATAATTTTCTTCAACTATATCTATCTAAATTGATAATGGTAGGTGTTTTAAATGAATGAAAGAATGATTCTATGAATGTAAATCTCATTAAATACTCAAGAATGCGATGAATGCTGTCTTCAAATCATTTATTGGTATCCAAATCAAATAAATCGTTGATATGGGTTAAATAGAAAATCAGCTTATAGCATTTGATGTAACATCAGAGTACGATATATTGTATTGTATTGTATTATATTGTTATTCTTCTCAAGGTAAACTTCTTTGAAAAGACGTTTCTCGTTTACATATATTCATTTTAGAATGGGGTTTTGTGGAGATTTTAGTATGTTCAATAGTTGAAATCATGAGTCAGTTGAAGCCAGACCACCATAAAAAGCATAGAAGCACTGGACAGCCGTTTCATCCTAGTATGTGACTCCTCGGCAGTGCGCATCCACGATCCCGCTCACGGGTTTCGAACTCAGCGCAAACGCTCAACCTACTGAATCACTGAGCCGGCATCTAAAAGTGTTGATGTCTAACTTCAATTCACGAGATTGTGCCACCGCGGATGCGCACTGCTGAGGAGTCACATACTAGAACGAAACGGCCGTCCAGTGCTTCCAGGCTTTTTATGGTGATCCAGCTTCAACTGACTCATGATTTAAAATAATGATACATTTTCTTGTTAACGTCTTCATCAACTTTCGTTTGTTATTCGAAAAGCTTCGTTATCAATGTTACATAGAATTTCAAATACATTTAATTAGTCTTCTCTCTCTCTCTCTCTCTCTCTCTATATATATATATATATATATATATATATATATATATATATATATATATATATATATATCGTTCGTAGAAGAAATTCCAATTGAGACAGTTCACAATATTGACTTCGGTAGTAAAAATATTAAACTTTTGGTATTTGTTCATATTTATGCTTACTTTAAATGATAATTATAAATAATCATTTTAAAATCCCTCATTCATTAACTTTAGTATATTTTATTGATTTCGATAAATAATCTTATTCCGGGTATCTAGAGGACTATATATGATCAATAATGCTATTATTCTAATGTCAAAAAAAAAACAAACAAAAATAATGTATTTATTATGTATTTAATTTGTATAATCTGCTAGATTCAAAGTACTTTTTGTTCAACAAAAAAAAAAGGAAAGAAAAAATAAAAAAAAATATATTTACATCAATTTTAATGAATACAATTTAATCTGATAGATAACAGAATAGAAGATTCATTTTTTTTATACATACAATATGGAACCAATTCATTGATACTTTTGAACTTTTGTCTTATATGTTGATCAGTATTAGATTCAAATGGTTATTTACAGAAAGTATACTCTATAATAGATGACTATATCATTCATCATTGATATTATACGGATATATTATAAACAAATTAATTAATTAATTAAAAAGAGAAGCTAACAAAGAAGAAATGTTCAATAGTGAATACATATTAATATATAGATAATAAGTGTTATAGTTAAATAATTATAATTTATTAAATAAGCATAATTTTTTACAGATTTAATTGGACTTGCTTGAATCTGATTTAAATTATTTATAATAGTTTGTTTTCTTATATTCATTTCATCTATATTTTCATCATTATTAATTAAATTAGTCATTTGTAATGATTCTAAATGTTTAGATAATCTTGTTTCATAATTAAATGTACAACCATCCGGTAATGTCTCTTTAAAATAATTCATTATTAAACGTACTGCATTGGATGGACATGCATTATGTAATATATTATATAAACAATCTAATTTTGTTCGTAGAGATCTAAACGTTCAGAAAAAAGAGAAAAAAAATGTAAGAATATTGAATATGACGAGGAACATGGAAACATGAATGAAACATTATGATATTGAATGTTTAATAAGTTTATATGTAGATAAAATGAATGTTCAATGTTATATGATTGTGTAGGTTATCTCATCAAAGAACATTTAACTTTATCCTCGATTAACATCAAACTTTATTTTGATAAGATGAAGAAATAAGATTTATCTAGTTAGTAAACGTGTTTTATTGTATTGCTACTATTGATGATTAATATTTAAAACGGTACATTTATACCAGCATCGTAGTAGTACCGAAAAGCTAGCAGGCAAGCGAGTGATCGAGCGAGCTAGTGAGTCAGCGAATACGAGTACGAATAAGCAAATATAATGAACATGAATAAAATGTACATATGTATATATAGTGAAATGAATGAATCGTCGAATCAATTAAGCAACTAATACTAAGGCTAGCAAAGCGAATAAATGCATAAGCAGTAAGCAAATGCTCTGATATACATATTCATACAAGTGTAATAATAATAAAAGTACAATGGTATAGATAAGCTGTTATTGTACGAATGACTCTGTTACTTAAATAAGTTAACAAAAAAGGTTAACCAAATTAAATATGAACATACTCAATTTCACGTCAGCTAAATCAAGGTTTTAAATTTAATTTTATGCTCTTGAACAAAATAATAATCTACGTTTTTATATTGACATATTATTAGGATAACATTTTTATTTTAATTTCAGTGGTTAAGGTCATGAGTCAATTGGAACTAGACCACCATGGAAAACCTGGAAGCACTGGACGGCCGTTTCGTCCTAGTATGGGAATCCTCAACAGTGCGAGTCCACGATCCCGCACTCCGCGAGATTCGAGCCCAGTGTGATTAGATCGTTCGAAATCTACTGCACTAATATATTACATAGTTCTGTTAATCTTCATTCTCTTATCACACTATACAAATTAAACAAATCAAGAGTTAAAATTGATAATGTGATAACAGATATACTAGATGTCATAAGAAGAACCAAGACTTGAATCATTGTTTTATAATAGGAAGTAGATCACCAACTTAGAAAAATAGACATGAAATAATATTCATTGAAAATCATTAAGATTATGTAATATGAAGTGCTCATATAATAAGACAGTGAAGCATTTATTAAAAAATGGAGTAAATAAAAGTAAACGAACAGAGTGTGAAAAATAACAATAAATAAAACTGTCTGTTAGGGTTATTGCGGCCAAGAAAAATATAAGAGTGTTAGAAATTTCTAATCATCACAAAGATTCAGGTGCTTAGCTGGTACTTCTATAGCTTCTGCTGTGTAAGAGATGAGGTCGATCACCATAAGGGAAATTGATGGGTATACGATAAGTTACTTTAAATGACCTACTTCTGTTTACTAGATGTCTACTACTGATTATGTGTGACAGAACGAAGCTACATTTTGTTTTATTTGTATCCCTTCTCAACCACAAAGGGAGGTAATCACTAACATGTTGAATCGGTAGTTTGGTTGTAAGGCCAATATAGTTTTCTGCCCAGTAGCAGCTGAATAAGCAGATACACATGGGTGTGGTAAAACAAGGTAACGTATCCTTTAGAATCACCACAACTCGGCTAGAAAATGATACACAGGGGCTAGTTGCATTAGACATTCCTCTTCATGACGTAGTGTTAGTCTATCTCCCTAGCTCTACATACAAGACATCTAACTAGGTTTCTTCTATAATGAATGGGTACAAGACTCAAGAATAAATATGCTGATTTACCCAATAAAGTTTTCTATGCTCACTTCTATTGACGCAATCCTTTTCTTTTTAAAACGTCAAGAAAACATAATTTGTCATCAATCTTTTCAAAACACAAAATTTTGATTGTTTACTGTTTATTGTTAAGTAGTTGTAAAAGTTCTTATTCACTTTTTACATAATTCTAATGAAATTTAATTACAATTATTCACTGTCTATTTTTTCATGTTGTTGATCTACTTCCTATTATGAAACACTGAATCATGTCCTGGTTCTTCTTATCACATTGAGTACACCTGTCATTACACTATTAATTTAGATTTATTGTTTATTCATGTAATCTATTCCCATGTTAACATTTAGAAATTGCCTTGATTGGTTCAGTAATTGCATAAATGCATATTTATATTATTGTATATTGGAGTAATGCATGATGAGGATCTTATTCAAAACAATATTGTTCGCTTATATATATTATTTTAATTCACAATATGGTAATTGTCAGTAATTTGATTTTGTCAAAAATACATTTTTGTTTTGAATTAAAGAACGATCAATCAATTGATAGATTCAACAGTGCTTTCACGTGTTATACAGCACGTAGTGGGAATATAATAAGTTACTCTACATTTTGTTTGTTTTTATCAAATAGTTCATTATAATGGATGGGTAGAAATAGTCAATTCAATTTAAAACTCTATCTGACTAGTGTTTAATTTGAGTTTCACACTTTTTCGGTTCATTTATTAAGTAAAGAACAAACAAATATTAGTATATTTAAAATAATCTAATCAATAGAAAATTGAATTCCTGATGTTTTATGACTCTATGTTAATTGTTCCTCCATGTGATGAATAGTCTTTCACAAATGAAGGCTAATATTATCACTTCCAGGGATAAAATTCATTGAGATATTCAACATATACATATATTATTTCATTCAGGTAAACCATGATTCATCCAGAGGTATATTTGTGTGAAAAATAGAACATGTAAATATATTATCTAATCGTGTTCATGATATGAGACTGTAAAAAGCTAAATTTAAAAGATTCGTAATGAACATCCAAAAAAATGAATTGAATTTGATAAAGCAATTGCTTAGCATAACTACAGATGTACTAAATATAAAGCTTGTAGAAAACTTTACTACGAACAAATATTTCCTCAAATATGCTTTGTTATTTAATGTGATAGTTAAGACAGAAAATTCTATTTGGACGGATAGTCAAGTGTTTACTACATTTTTACATATATATAATCTGTCAAAATTAACAGCCTAATAAACAACAGAAAACAAGAATATATAGCTTCAACTACTTAACTTTGGATTATAAATATACCTTGAGATGTATAATCCTGTAAATAAGTATTATTATCCTTGGAGATCAATTTCATAACATATATTTAATACAATATTTAACAAATAATTCGAATTGTAGGAATCTTTAAATATATGTATAGTAGCTTAAAGCTGAATAGATAATGACATTAAAAATCAATTATTTTGACAGGGTTATCAATATTTTCTTATTTAACTTTTTTTGTTTTGTTTTAATGAATCAGTCGCTAAAGGAAACATTTATTGATCAAATAATACTTCAACAATTGAAAGGAAAATAATCTTTTCATCTAAAATTTTATAATTGTTTCATAAATGTACAATGCTCACTAATGACTAGCTTCGTGAGGGAATTCTCGGAGTTCCGATGAGAAGTCGTGATCAGTGGAACTAATCCGTGTCGGGGAGAGACAGGTATCTACCTCAGTACAATGGAAGATGGCCGCGCAATTTTGTGGATTGGTTGGAGTTAGACATTAACACCGTTGGATGCCGACTCAGTGGTCTATTAAGTTGAGCGTTCGCGCGCGAGACTGAAGGCCTTTGGTTCGAATCCTGCGAGCGGGATCGTAAATACACCCTGATGAGGAGTCCCACAATAGGACGAAACAGCCGTCCACTCCTTTCAGGTTTTCACTTGTGGTCTAACATCAATCAGTTCATGATCTCAATCAATTAAAATTGTTTACTTATTCATATAAAACTTATTTTATCACTGAATTCAACATCTGACCAAGGTTCTTTTTTGTTTTTTCGCGTGACAATTACAAATGACAATTACGTGATATGGTAATAAATAAAAAAATTATCTTAACCAAATATTTTATATTTTGTCAGTAGTAAATAAAAAAGATATAAAAATGATTAATTTTAGGGATTTGGGAAGTGATTCTCAGTCTAAAAATTCAATAGATAAGCAATTCATCACCTAACTTTAACTAAATAAAATACCAGTTTATTGAAATAAAGACATACAAGTTAAGTGAAACAAAGACAAAACGGCATAATGTAGTTGAGTGATATTACAAATACGTGTTCATTGATAGCAATAATATCTTAGAAGAAGTTATTCGTAAAACATCATTAGAAAAACGCATCAAATCCACGGAACGAGCTGTTATTCACTTCTCTCTGAAGTGTGTGTTGTTCAAAAACACAACCGAACCTATAAGAACTAATTTTCTAACTTCAAGGTGCGTACATATTTTACAAAATCTTCGTGTATTTTATACTATTCCTTACATTTATTATGTGTTTTAATAATAATAATTCGCTGGAATAGTTTTCTCACAGTGTAAGCGTTTGCAAAATGTACTGTACATTCATACGTTGAATAATATTCAAGCATTTAAGAAATTTGTAAATTAAGTTGACAGACTGTAGATTATTGGGATTATAGGATCTTTTAAAATATTATTATAAATCATATTTCATGAAAATAATCTTCCCAACACACCTTGATGTACTAATATTTTAATTTAATAATGGGTAACTGTTTCTTACGTATGGAAACAATAAGAGACTAAATCTAAATGTTTGATCCTAATTTGCATGATTATAATTTGTCATATTGTCATCGCCAATAATTTTATATATTTAATCATGGTATTAAATAAGATCGTTGAGAAAGTCGAAACAAAATTAGAACGCAGATGTTCATAACACTGTCAGTAGGGATTTGAACAATCTCTTAGAAGATATTCAGCTGATGGGTCCCTAATAGGATTAAGTGAGAGTACTAGGTTCCACTGTTAGCTAAAATCTACTTGTTTTAGAAATGCAGATGGCATTGATCAGAAATTACATCAACGGAGTAACCAATGTAGACCGAAGCTGGATACTATTTAATGAAAATACTATTAATACTTATCGATGACAGAAGCCATTTGACACTGAAAACGTTTCCCCGGATTGTCTGATAACAAACGTAATGGTGAAGAATCGGAAAGTTTTCTTCGAAGTATCGTTTTGGAAGGGACGTCACAGAATGTTTCCTTAGAATTAGTGGAATTTATCTCCTACTCCACAATATCTCAAACGAACGTTTGCACTGTAATCATCGGTTAATAATCGGTTAATAAACGGTACTGGGACCGAGTCTCGGATTGAACGTCAACTCTGAGATGTAGGTTTATCCAGCTGACGAGTTCTAAAGACGAATAAACGTGTGCCTCTGATTCGACAGGTAGCAACCATCCATATTTAGTTATGCTGGATTTTATAAAGCTTATATATTTATTTAGAATACGAGAATTATATCGATAATGCAATGAGAAGACTAAGTTTATCAGAATTTTTAACTAAATTCTTTTCTCATATATTCACCAATTCGAATTTTAATTAAAATCTGTTTTTTAAGCTCTTTCGTAAGGTTAATTTAGCTACAGACGAAATTTATGGAAGTGTGATTTTTAAATTCTTGAGAACAAACTTTCAATTGATGGAATAAATTTCTGGCTTATGGCTGTTTTAAAAGCTCACGTTGTCTATCCACGATTCCAACATGTTTTACACAGTAATCTATGGATTTCTTGGACGGCTCTAAGAAAAGATAACGTCTACTGAACAAGAATGACTTTTCTAAATACTGAGGATACGGTTTTAGAGGTATGACGTAAACTGAAGTTTTGTTTTATCTCTTGGAGAATTAGGTTACTGCTGCGTACATTTTCCCTGGTATTATGTTTTTATGAGACCTTCGTAATTTTCATAAATTCGTAGATCGATGTAAAATAAGTTTCCTTACTGTTGAACCATAGATCAAATGTAACCCCAGTCACACCATTAAAAAAAATTCATGAATAGAACTGATAAGTTAATCTATATGTTATACTTGCAAATAATCTGATCCTGAATTTTGTTAAAATAAACTGATTCTTTACATATGAGCTTCTATGATTCTTATTTGTGGTCATTCAAATTATTTCTCTATACGCTTCATGAATACTTTGACTACTCAGAAGAAATATTATTTGTAAACTCAACTCGTCTCACTGCAGCTAGTAGAAAGGCAATCAGAGATCAAGTACGTTGCATATTCCTTTATTAATAAATAAATAAATCCTATTTTATCGTTAATTTAATAAAGATAATGTAGAGAACGAGAACATAAATAGAGACAACCGAATCCGATCATACAGAACATCTTACTAAAATCTGAGAACCATACAGTAAATAGCTTATTTGCAAAATGTCAGACTTCATTGTTCTTTTGTTCCCACAACAACCATTCTTTGGTCTTGTTCTGTTTTTTTCCATCTTCCTAACCTTCTACTGCTAGGCATTTCACTATTAATGATACACACTACTTATATTTGTCGACATCAGTAGCACATAGCACAATAGGAAAAACCGAAATATGGACTTTATCAAAAATAAGCCACTTTTTCCACTAGTAATTAATTTTTTTTCATCCTGTTGATCATGTACAGATTTGTAATGATGGATTAACTGAAAACATCTTAAATTAATTTGAATTAGTTGATAATATTGCAAATGTTCTAGTAGTATGGAAGACTGATGCAATTAATAAATGAGTTTCATTATATTATGTAAACACCACATTGTTCATCACATTAAATAATAAACATTTCACTATGTTTTCTAATAAGAATAGATAAAAATTGCTTCGCTAAGTTGAAGTATTCGTTAAACATATTTTAATGATCTACTTATTTTGAGTATTTAAGTTTTAATTAATAAATAGTTATACTACATCTTATTGTGGTGCGTGCTACTTATATTGATATAAGTAGTATATGACGCGAGTTAAAAACGTAATGTCTGGTAGCAGAAGATGGGGGAAGATCAAGAAAGGAAGAGACGGAACACAATGCAATTTGTAAGAAAACGCATGAACAATGTAATGTGAGACAATGGATTGATGATTACAACAGGAACAGTCCGGTTTGGTATGATGGATTAATATTTTGAAAAATTAACGATTTACTATATGATTTCTTTATTTTACCAAGTAAGTCTGTAGTGGTTTTTGAACTGTGATTCGATTGTCCTCACCCGTGTTCTATTCACTACAATATTTTTACAATATGTTACAAGGTGAAATGTTTACATTTAATGAAGTTTACTGAAATTACAGTATTCTTATGACCATTTAAGAAATTCATAGTAACTAGTTAAATTTGGAAATATATTAAGACAAAATTTACTTAATTGAATTATTTATGAATTCATTGTTGTATATAGGAGATTATTATTTATTACAAGTTATTATGACAGTAATTTGTAAGAAAGTGACCATTAAATTTTTAATGAGCAATCTTATAGTAATTGTAAAATAATCATTTAGAGCAGAGATGGATAGTGGCTAGCAGTGGAATCCAGGACGCTCGTTTCGTCCTGTTTGGGACTCGTCAGCTGGATGTACCTGCATCTCAGAGTTGATGTTCACTCTTGGACTCGAACTCAGTACCGTTCGCTTCAAACGCCATCGCGTTATCCACTTAGCTACTGAGCCCTGATAGCCACTTGCTTGTGCAATGGGGTGAAGTTTAATTCACTTGATATTGTTTTATTTGAATCTTCCCATTTATGTTTTAGGACTGAAGTTGATCCACTGCTAGCCACTATCTATCTCTGCTTATAATGCTTGTAAATTAAGGCAATATCGAGGCATACGCACAGTATGCCCATATGCCAATAAGAGACTGATCAACTTCAGTCCTAAAACATCATTGGGAAGATTCAAATAAAACAATATCAAGTGAAGCATTTAGAGATCCAAATATAACGGTTTTCTATAAAAAATTTTAAAAAAAACATTCACATAGAGATACAAAATAATGAAGGTGTAATAAAGTAACTTACTTGCATTCATATGATGTTAATGTGTGTTTAATGATAGAATAATATTCATTAGGACTAGATAATAATCGACTAGATTGATTATGTAATGCTAATACAACTTCTTTAATTGTTTCATTTCTATGAACTGCACATTGTTCAGCTAATTTCTCTTGTTGTTTTAAACATCTATACTGATGTTCACGTAAAACTAAAATAGAAATATTGTAATAAATGTAGTTTACTAAATAAATGTTGAATAAGACAACTTAAATTAGTTTGATTTGAAAAGAAAAAAAAAAAACTTTTATTAAAACTAAACAATTTATTATAAGCAATAACGGAATCCTTAATAACTCTTAAGTATTTTGAGCAAGCTAGTGCTTTTATTACTGGAAAATAAGGCAAGTGAGCAGTTATGGTCTGAATTATTTTCAGAAATATTCGTCATATTTAACTTTATTAACTTTCAAATACAGCGTCTTTCTTTAAACATCAACATTAAAATGTAAGTACTTGAAATTGATGGGTTATATATAGGAAGAAATGTTTGTTCTATACAACACTACTAGGGATAATTTAGATGTGTCAAACTAGTATATATGACTGACTATAAATACAGTGAGACAGATTTTATTTGAAGAAAGAATTTGACAAAGACAAGAGTTAGAAGTACAGCTTTTGAAGAGGCTGTAAGTAGTTATAAAAATTAAATGCTTTTCATTTCTAAGACTTTATTAAACAAATGATACTATTCACTTGGAATCTTCTAATTGATGTTTAGGACTGCAAATAATCAGTCTCTTATTGGAGTATGTGCATACTGTGCGGATTGCCTCTATATTGCCATAATTCACAAGCATTATAATTGAAGATGGATAGTGGCTAGCAGTGGAATCTAGGATCCGCGTTTCGTTATATTTGGAACTCGGCAGCTGGATGTACCTCTTCTAGTAATAACTTAGTTGTTCATACTAAGTGTAAATATCCCAGTAATTCAAGTGCAACTTCAGTCGTTCCCACTGTATGAGGAAAATTACTTAGATTTACCAGAAATACTAGTAGTTTTATTGACAAGTACTAATATCTTTTGTTTAAACTGCTTCACGTGTTAAGTGACATTAATTTATAGTTAAAATGCTTAGTTAATTTCTATATTTGAAGATTTCCTTAAGAGAATGAATTTATTTTCATATTAAACGCCCATATATAATTTATATATATATTTTAAGTCTCTTGATGAATATCGAAAGTGAATAAAAAAAACTACATATTGATCAAATAATCATTATCTAAGATGCGATACCATCAATATAACATCGAGCCAATCGAAATTGAATGGATACAATTACTGAAAAATTAAATTCCTTAAACACAGTTAGAAATGATAACTGTTTAGTATATTTAAGTCCTTCATATTTAAACTTCAGAACTTTGGATAATATTTAGTATAAATGTTATGTACTACACCAAGCAGTTTGTGTATTTAGTACCTACACTTGTGATATTGAGAAACTCGAACGACATAGTGGCATATTTGTTTGATTTAGACAAACAAGAAAAACAACCTAGTGCCAAGTTCAATCTCCTTCATAATTTCAAAAATCATATTTTGATTTGTTTTCAACTAACCAAGAATTTAAAGCTTAGGTTTACTTAAATCAATAAAACTGTCTTATTTGTTATGCAATCTCATAATTATATCAGGAAACAGTTTGAGCACTTTATTTATTACTTAGGAAAGTTAAACGTTTAAACTGAATTAAATTCAGCACATTCAAAGATATTCTTTAGCATATTTCCGAGAATTATATATGTATTAGTTTAAATTTTGACTGATCACTGATGTACAATTATAGGTTGTTAATTATAGAATTCAGAAACAAACTATTTGAATTGCTGCATTGTGCAAAGTACTTAACAACTAAATGAAAACATGGTTAATCAGATTTTTCAGTGGATAAAAATGTGCTTGGTTCACATTATTTGACTATAGCATATCAGTGTTTCACTTCAGTAGTTAATCATAAAATAAGCACAATTTTGATATTGACATTGTTTGCAGTGTTGTTTTCAATTTAACGTCAGCCTTTCAGTGGCTTGAAAACAAAGTTTCTCATATTTGGTATAATAAAGAAACAGGTGTAAAACTAACATAATCAAACTCTAAATCTTAAATTAAATTCACAGAAACATAATCATTTCATGTTATTAAATCATTCTATGATTTATTTGAGTATATTGGACATTGTGAATAGTGTAGTAAGTTTCGTAATACAACTTACTTCTCAAATTATGTTCATGACATATATATGCAGCAGCTTTTTCAAATTTTCTTGTATCTAGAGAAATGGACCATATAATTTGTCGAAATTTCTCCTCATCGGAATGATTACATGATTCTTCTGCTCTTTTCCTCATACAGTGAAATACTAATATGTGCCATCGAGTACTGAATATATTGTCAAATATATATATAAAATAGAATACTTAATGTGTAAGTAAAGTTGTAAACTAAAAAGAACAAAAATATTATTGTAATCAAAATTCGGTCAAGAATATCCAGTCCTGAACATATTAAATTATTGTTACATTAATGATGTCTCATCGTTTACTAAAACTAAAGTGAGACAGGCACCTTGTGGTATTTATGAAAATCTATATTATTAAATATTTGCATGTGTTTGAGTGTCTTCGTTGATGATATGAAGGACTAAATGTTGGTCCACCACTTTTGCATTATTTGAGCCTGCAGGAATTGCCTTGATGTCGTCACTAGTTCGCGGTTATTTCCAAAGAGATAAGTAATGCATAGCGTTAGAGTTTAAGATGCTAGTCTCGTTCTATTTAGAACTATCCAGTTGAATACACCTGTATTTCATATTTGATGTTCACTCTGAGGTTCGAATCCATTACCTTTGGTTTTCAATGTTAAGCCATTATCTTCGATAAATAATAAACATGATCTCTGTTGCATAGACTGTAAAGTCATATTTTTCAGATTTTATGCATTTTCATTGCTCATTTTTGTCAACAAAAATAGCATATACTTACTTAATAAATTCAAGTGTAAAAATTATATTTTTTTAACGTTCCCATACATTTTAGAGAAAATAAAATAGCTTTCTGTTTATTTTCTTTTAGCTTAATCTATTAACATAAGTTAATCTCTTTTTGTACCTGCTTCATGTATGTATAAATGTATGAATTTCTTTTAAATTACTCTTAAGAATAGATCAAAGTAACATCCAGGTAAAAAAAAACTAGGCGTTTTCATGATATCATCTCTATTTTATCAAAATTGAAATTATTCACTTATTTAATTCAATAAGTCCCTTTGATAAATTTTGATAATGTAATAAGAAGATGAAGATTATCAGAACTAATATGATATAATAGAGCAATATATTTCAAACAATCTGATCACACATATTGTACTTGTTAAGAACATTTAAGCATAGAAATAAAAGGTCAACTACACTAAAAGTGGAGGGTAAGAGGAGAAAACAGTTTAAAACCTAATCATTCTGGATAATAAGCTTTTATTTTATATATAAATGTTCTTAACAAGTACTTTGTCTATGATTAGATTATTCAAAATGTATTGCGCTAATATATCACATAGTTCTTCTTAGTCATTTATCATTTATAGATGAAATGTCTTCTTTGACACCTCATGTGTGATCAGATAGTTCGAAATATATTGCTTTATTATATCATATTAGTTCTGATAATCTTCATCTTATTATCACACTATCAAAATTTATCAAAGGGACGTATTGAATTAAATAAGTGAATAATTTCAATGTTGATAAAATGGAGATGATATCTTAATTGATTGATGGTCGCTCAATTTTGTGGACTGGTTGACGTTAGACACTTTCACCATTGGATGCCGGCTCAGTGGTCCAGTAGATTAAGCGTTCGCGCGCAAGACCGGAGGCCATTGGTTTGAATCCCGCAGGCGAGATTGTGGATGCGCACTGCCTAGAAATCCCACATTAGGACGAAACAGCCGTCCAGTGATTCCACGTTTTCAAAGGTGGTCTAACATCAATTGGTTCATGAACTCAATCAAAAACTTAATTGATTCAGTTAGCAGATTTATGAAAACGTTTAGATTTTTTTTATACCAGGATGTTACTTTGATGTATTCTTAAGAGTAATTTGAAAGAAATTCATACATTTTGTATGATATTTTATCAAGAATATTTGGTTGAAATATATTTAATTGAAATCTTGCAAAACAATTTACAAATCTTATATATAAAAGAAACGAAAAAAACGCCAAAAAAATTGATAATTACCGGCACATATATTCTGTATCATTTAATGAACCATAACCAAAACTATAACCAGATAATTGACTTGTTGGTATATGAACTTTATGCTTTCTAGAACAATAATCTAATTCATGTTCTAAATTAAAGCATTGTTTACGAGCAATTATTAGATATTGTATTAAAAAAATATTAATCACTCCTAGTTTAAGAAAAAAGAAAAAAAGAAAAAAAAGAAAATTAAAATAAAATCTGTGAGGAAATAAACAAAATAAATCTAAAATGTTTACTTATTTAAGTGTCAAATAATAACAAAACTAAAATTCACTTGTAGTTGTTTTACTTGTGTCTACACATTGTTATTTAGGACTACAATTGATCAGTCTCATGTTGGCATATGTGCATCCTGTGCCGATTGCTTAGATATAGCCTTAAATCAAAAGCTTTTTAAGAAAAGATGGATAGTGCCTAACTGTGGAATCTAGAATGCACGTTTCATCCTATGTGGGACCCGTCAACTTGGTGAACCTGCATCCCAGAGTTGATGGCCACCCCAGGACTCAAATCCAGTACCGTTCGCTTCAAACGATACTACGTTATCCACTTAGCTATTGAGCCCTGATAGCTTTTCGTTTGTGACTGATCGATTGCAGTTTTAGATAACAATGGGAAGATGCAAGTAAAACAACACCAAGTGAATTTAAACTTCACCCGATTGCACAAGCAGGTGGCTATCAAGACTCAGTGTCTAAGTGGATAAAGTGATGGCGTTTGAAGCGAACGGTACTGGGTTCGAGTCCCGGAACGAACATGAACTCTGGGATACAGGTACATCCAGATGACGAGTCCGAAATAGGATTCCACTGCTAGCCACTATCCATCTTTGCTTAAAAATACTAAAATTAAAAATTTTTTGAAAAGAAGCACTCACTACTACTAATTAATTCTAATAATATTTAAGATAGCTGTTATAAAAAATAATTAGAAAAATGGGGAATAAATAATTATGATTTTTATTTCAGTTATTTACTATGTGATATTGTTCATCTAGGGAAATAATAATAATTTTAATTCTTATATGAATAGACTTTCGATATATGTACTTAATCGACGTAGACTAATGATAATGGTTCAATTAAGAATGGAAGCGCTTAAACGTTGGTTATATATGTATATGAAATATATGGAATATATGGAATATAAATATTTGACTAACTATAATTATTAGTCACTAATTTCTTGGATATTTTGGTTATTTTCATGTGAATATACGATTTCTAGATGGTTTCAAAATCGTTATGAAGTATTTGTACAATGTTGTTTATTTAAAGGTAGAACTTAATAGCAATAGTCAACTGAATGTTTGTACATAAGTTCAAATGTGGCAAGTATTTATAAACTACATTCATTACACATCTGAGATAGGCGGTGTCTCTTCAAGCAACCAACTGTGTTGATTTCTTCGTAAACGAGAGCAGCCTTTTAATGGGATTTGTTTGCCTGCATAAGTAACCAATTACTAAATTTGAAAACTTTCAGAAAAAAATTCAAATCTGTTGAAACATTTTTGTGGCCTGGGATCTGATCTCAGTTTGATCGTGTGATTGATTGCTATTGAAATATATATGTTGGTAATTCTCGTATATTATTATCGACTTAATCCACGTTGGTTAATAACGGAATCAAATGACTCAGATACGAGAACGGATTTCGAATACGTTTGGTTTGTACAGTCGCCAATCGAAACAGACAATCAGAGAATCGCAGCGAATGAAGCGAAATGATGCACGGCGGAGAAAGTGTGTAAGCCAACTCCATTTAACCAAGAGTTCATCAATATTTATAGTCGCACAAAAATAAGCTACAGACATGTGATGAGTAGGACAAGACATGCACACCCATACGCTCATATAAAAACAGTCAGGGTAGATAAGTGAACAGTTAACAAGTTCAAAACGTGACTCAAGAAGAATGGATAAAGTGTCCTGTCCAGAAGCTAGAATAAGTTATATTGGCTTAACATAGTAACCGACACTACAACCTCTTAGTGACTTAGAAAAACAGTCATGGTTATTAAATTTATGAATACGAAAATGCTATTTAGAACTGATAATAGTTGTGTGCTTCAACTTCGAAATCTAGATATATATGCAGGTATATATTAATATTTGACACACGTAGAACAAGAGTTCCAGTCAGCTGATGATACTATCATCATTTTGCAGAGATCAACAAAAATGTCTATGGATTTGTGCTTATACTCTAGCCTTTAGCTCTGATTAGCTACGGCATTACCTAGAATGTAATGTCGTAGTAACATTTTTTATATTGTGCCGATATTTGATTCAGTATATGAATAGCCATCTTTAAATTACTTACCTTATTTATGTTTAATTTGTTTAATCTAGTTGTCATTTATTTTAGCAAGATTGTTTTCTACGAGATGGGGTCGACGACCCCACACCCTACCCTCCTTGTTTGTGTGGAATTGGGATCGTCAATAACTCTACAAGAACTACAGGCGGATTTCCGTCTTTAAATGCCTAAATCAATTTAAGAAAACAGTGAACCTGTCAGTCCCAATAATATTCCTTATTTTTAGTGATAGATAATGAAATCGTACATATATTGATGTTATGCAGGTTAATAACTATCGTTCAATCATCTTAATATATCAGAAAAAACACGAATTTCTTGAAATTACTTCTTTTCTAGGTCAGTTGTCTTTTGAAAACTTCGCAATAATAATAAACCTTAGGGTTTACCTCGTTCCAGTCATTCTAAACCATGTAATTTTTGGTGTAACTGGTGAATTACCAACAGTTGTGACTAGATATGACTTGATAGTATCATTGAATAACTTCATTATAATCAAATTTAATAAATCAAAATTGAACTATACTATCATTACATTGATCTTTTAATAAAAGAGATGATGGAGATTTAGAGCTCAGGTGGATGGTTTTGGTAGAGTTTGTTCTCTGAGGTATTATTGTTATTATTATCATTATTATTCCATTCCATTCCATTTTTTCTCATTAACAAGTCTAAAGTGTATTTTTCTAAATATATTTAAATTTGTACAAATTTTATACCTGTATAACTATTAACAATGAAATCAATCATTCGTTAAACAATATAAAAGACAATTAAATAAACAATAATTTATGATCAAATTAAAGATAGAAAACAAATTCCACTTCATTCACTGGATAAATTCAATTTTTATCCATTTTCATGATTATTAAGGATTCTAATTGAAAACTCATGGTTTTATTGGTTAAATATTTTCGGTCAGTTGGTAATTTCTTAAAGGAATATTGTAATATATATGTTCATACAATGATGTAACATTACTTAATAATAAAACATAATTGGATAAATCATATCTTGAGGCAACTATATATATATATATATATATATATATATATATATATATATATATATATATATATATATATATATATATATATATATATATATATATATAATTGAATAATGATCTATCAGTGATTTATTCCATTTCACGGTTAACAAAGGGATAAATAATAGATTTAAACATTTTTGAATCATATGCCTAATAGAACTTTTGGATGTTAACGAAATAAATAACAAGCAGCCCATTATATCAATAGATTACACTGTAAAGAGTAGTAGATGATTTTGATTGCTTAACTGTAAATTCATTAACTAGAAAATTGACGTAAAATAGGCTATTCTTTTCATGAATGTTTTCCAAATTAAAAAAATTTGATATACTTCTTTATTGAGAAGTAATTAAAGCTGTAGTATGTCAATCAGGAATTGTTGTTTGCTATATAAAATCAAAGGGAAATAACAAACCACATCCCAGTGGAGGAAGAAATTAAAAAGAAGCGCTAGAAGTGGATAGGACACACACACATTGAGGAAAGCACCAAACTGAATCACAAGACAAGCTCTCACATAGAATCCTCAAGGTCAAAGGAGGAGAGGAAGACCGAAGAACACATTACGCCGGGAAATGGAAATAGACATGAGAAAAATGAACAAGAATTGGATGGAATTAGAAAAGAAGGCCCATGACAGAGAATGCTGGTCGGCGGCCTATGCTCCATTAGGAGTAACAGGCGTAAGAAGTATATAAAATTTAATGGTTATCGTTGGGGTTGACTAATATGAAGTGTAAACTTGAATCTTTTTATAAGCGCGGTAAAATTGTGAAATAAGCGATCCGAATAAATATGGTCAATATGGGGTGAAAGAGAGAGAGAATAATGGGATAAACCATCTAGCTCAGAAAACAAAACTCCATCAAAATCATCCACCTGAGCTAAAATCTTCACCATCTCAAAAATCAAAAAATTACGTAATATGTAGAATCATATGAATTAGGTCAGATATAGTATAGATAGGGATGGATGTTGGATAAATTACTTAAAAATGTTATCAAGTGTAATAATAATAACACTGACAAAGATAATAACAATAATGAGATAAACCACCTCTTTCTGTATCTATCAATTCAACTGCTCCTGTGGAGCAAATTATATTGGCAGATGTTCTGGCTTTTTTACATCCGGGCTTGTGAGCACCTCCCAGTGTGATTAATCAAAGGTGTAGTCAAAATGGTTAACAGCTTCATTTTAATCCATTTAATTCAGATGGGACATACAGCCAACATGGAGCGATCTTTCGAAATATTATATCGTGGTAACAGCAGTCTACCTAGTTCCGTCAGACTAAGAATCCAGCAAACGGCTGAAGCAATTGTTATTCGGATCAAAAAGCCAACTTCGTAGTCATCGTTTGAATAATATTCACATTTTTTTTTATATTTGTGATATTTTTATAATACGGTAGTTCATCTTCAATGTAATACTAATTGACTGAAACTATTCATCCATTACAATACCTAATTCATTTTTAAATAAATAAGTCATCATACTTTTTAGGTATTAGGAGATGACAACTATCTCTTTATGTTTTGAATTAACTAGGTCCTCAATTCACTTAAAAGTGTACTAATCCGAAATGATTTATGTGAAATACATAAATATGTATATTTCAGACATGACATTTAAAAATCCGCTACATATTAAAGTTACGTAGTTCTAGTAGAATATTTAAACAAATTCACATAGATTTAAAATTGTGATAAATACATAATTTAGTTAAAATTAAATGTAATTTTTGTTTAATAATAAATTCAACTAATAAATG